TAGATTCTATGAAGATGTACAGGAAGAAATTGACAGCACACCAACACATGATGTCAAGCTGATAATTGGAGATTGGAATGTGAAAGTTGGAAGTAAAGAAGAATCAAAAACAGTAGGCAGACTTGGATTAGGCAAAAGAAATGAACCACGTGAGTGTCTGATAAGTTTTTGTGAAGCCAATAACCTGTTCATTGCCAACACATTCTTTGTACAACCAGAAAGAAGGCTGTACACATGGACATCAACAGCTGGCCAACACAAAAATCAAATAGACCATATAATTGGAAGCAAAAGATGGGGAAACGCTATCCTGGTGGCCAAGACTAGACCAGGCACTGACTGTGGCACAGCTCATGATCTACTCAAATCAAAAATAAGAGTAAGACTCAAGAAAAAAACAAAACAAACACCAGTGATTATACCAAAATATGATCTAAATAATATCTCATCAGAATTCACTGACAATATAAGAAACAGATTTGCATTACTAAGCATAATTGACTGAGAACCAGAGGAACTATGATCTGAAGCCAGGGACCTAATAAAAGAAGAATGCGGAGAGACACTTTCAATAAACAAACAAGCAAACAAAAAAAAGAGAAAAAACCCATGGAAGACAGAAAAAACACTACAAGCAATAAAGAAAAGAAGGCTATGTTTTTAAATAGCCTTTGTATATAAAAGGTAGTTGTTATATATTTGAGCTCATGTACTTGAGCTTCCTGGAGCAAAGCCAAGATACAAATGTAATTACAAATGAATGAATGACAAATAGCATTTGTTTACTGTAATACATTCATACTCATTGTTTTGTATGTATAGGGCAGCTTTGCTAACACTTTTAATGCTCTGTAAATATTTAATCAGCTTGTAAAGTGCTGGTCTCTTTAAAAATAATGCAAACACGAAGCATGTCCTTGTACAGAGTTAACTTAATGTCCTTGTACAGAGTTAACTTTACTTATTGCATTGTGGAGTCTGTTGCTCTCCAGATAATTTGGACTACATCTCCTATAATCTTTGACTATTGGCCATGCAATAGATGCATAGTCCAGAGAACATCTGAAGGGCATGAAGCTGACGAGTTCAAGATACTATACCTATTTACTTAGGCCTAAGTATAATTGAACTCATAAAACAGCAGTTTTCAATATTTGACCTTACAGAAGTTTAGAAGTGAACTTCTAGAACTCAGTATTGCCAGCCAGTGACTGCTCAAAACATATGGAGGCCCAAATATTATGGACCACTGTTACAGAATATATGCTAAGTATATAGAAAAGCTTTTGTTTTAAAGAAAAGCAGCATGTCTCAAATGTTCGTTTGCTGAAAAAGTAGATTTGACCTATGCAGTGCAAGGCTCATAGGGAGGTTGAAGTGTTTCCTTGACTGTGATTTTCTGAATGAATTCAAAATGCCCATTGTTTTTGATCCTTTCTAAACTCTTTATGGGAACTTAAGACTTGACAATGTTTATCAGAGGTAAAGGCAGAGATGAGTGGATGTCTTTATTGTATATCTGCATTACTTCTCTCCTTAAATTTAATGATTGATTTGGAACCAGATTTGCGCAATATAGTCAATTGCACAATATAGTCAATTTACATTCTAGATTCTTCTCTGTGTGTATAACTGTTGGAAGATTTTTGCATTCTTGTTC